TTTACAGCTGAAGGGGCGGTCGGAGGGAGGCCCCCTGCACCCAGCGGGCGGCATCCTTGAGGGTGGGCGACTTCTAGGCTCTAGACCACCCGGCGGCCCGAAGGGGGCACACCCGGAGGGCCCCAGCGCGGCTCCCGGCCCAGCGTCTCAGCGCACAGCCTCGGCGAAACTTTGTAGCTGGAAGCACAGCTCCCCGGGCCTGGAGGAAGGATTCCACTGCCGCCAACTCCGGCCTATAGCGCCACCTTTGTCCCGACCCACTCACAGCTGAATGGGAGGCAACTTGGAGCCAAAAATAAACAAAACCCCCCAATCCGCGCGGGTGCGCGGGCTGCGAGAGGGTCGTGCAAGTTTCATTGCCTGCAGCCTCTACGCCCATGGCTTCCCTGAGGAAGGAGAGGTACTGGGAGTCTTCAGGTCCGGGAAGCCCTCGAAGGCCAGGAAATGGGGGATTCCCTTGATACCCCCAGTCCCAGGCCTGGCCCTTTCCCCAGCCCCAGCCCCAGCTGATCCTACGGAAAGCTTGAGCGAACTCTAGTGCAAGCACGGAAGGATCTTCCCACGGTTGTAGCCTGTGCTTCCAGCCCTTCTCACCCCGCCCCCAATCTTCAGTGGGGTCTCCAGAAACCTCCCACCACCTCTCCCAGGAGGTGCCCGCCTGCCCGCCCTGCCCCGGGGCCTTTCCAGCGGAGCCTTTCTTTAAGGATCGGCCTTTGACTTGGTGGATGAGGGTCGCGTCTCCTGGAGCACCGGTGTTGGAGGGGAAGAGCCAAACCACGTTTCCTACAGCTGAGCCGAGTGCCCCTCGGTTCCCCCCCCCCCCCCCCCCGCCCTCCAAAACGTCCGGTTACCTAGGCAAAGCCTCCGAGCCTGGAAACACTTTCGGTGGCTCCTGCTCGCGGCCGCGGGGCCGGGAGCACGGAGCCTCGAGGTTGTAAATTAGGAAGAAATAACTACCTCTGTCAAAGCCCCTTTCTTTCTCGTGGGCAGACGAAAGGAACACCCCCGTGTTCCCCTCCCGGTGGTGAAGCGAGTGGAGGAAACCGTGAAACGCACCATTGTGACCCCGGCCCCTCCGCGGAGTTTCCAACCTTGGGGAGCGGGGGCGGAGGCTGGGCGGGGGCAGGAGGCGTGGAGGAGACCGACAGAATGGGAAAGACAGAATTCTCAGAAAGACCGAGGGAGAGGAGACAAACCGCGGGGAGAAATCCTGCGAGCGCCAGGTCCCGGGAGGGGAGTGGGTGGGCGCGGGGGGAGGGAGCGGGTGCAGGGGCTGTTGTGGCCCGAGGAGTCTTTGATACTCACACGGGAGCATCTTGTTCAGCTACGATAACTCGGAATAAACTCTAACTTCATTCATTGTGCCCGGTAGCCGCGTTGGGCAGGTTTCTCTTTCCCAAACTTAGTTCTAGAAAACATTTCTTTGTCGCGGGAAAAGAAGATGGAATTTGCGATGAAGTGACCACACCGGCGCCCTATGTATGTCTCTCCCGGCACCCCAAGGCTCTGGGATAACCAACGGCCCGCGATTTCTGATCACCAACCTCCCTGCAGCCAGCTCTTCCCTTTGGAGTATGGAGGCTAAATAAGAGGCAATATCTATTCTAGGCAAAGCCTCGGCGCCCGGAAACACGTTCTTTGGAATCAAGGGACACATGCTGAAACTTCACGACTGCCCCAAAGTCCCAGCAGGTTCTAGAGGAGCCTTGGGAAGCCAGTCTCCGCAGGCTGCGTTGGCACGACCGCTCTCTCCTCTCCACCGAGAACTTTCAATTCTATTAAAACACTCGGAGCAACTTCTCCAAAAGCGCGAGTTCTCTCAGTTAAGAGGAAAACATGCCTTTCTAACACCGAGCCGAGCCTGGATGAGAGGGACACCGTCCCCACGCGTTTCGGAGTGCGGGAGTCCGCAATTACACCCGCTCACCTCGGGAGGGAAAAGTGTCAGCGGGCAAGTCGGCGGCGCTGGGCAGACGTGCCTAGTGGAGCCCCAGGCTCATTTCAATACAATAAGCCGCATTCCTACAATTATGCCCTCTTTTCCTGCGATCCTCCGAGCGCCTTTGCAAACTCCGGCCGCGGCTGCCCTGGGCCCCTTTCCCCTCCCAAGCTACCTCCCCGTCAACCCGCTCGGAGTCACTCTCAGGTGTATGAACTTGGACCACCGGAGCCCCTATGTTCAACCCTAGTTAAAAGGCAGGAAAATTACTGCCGTTCATCACCGGAGCAGCAACTCCCCGCCGCCGCTGCTGCCGCCGCCGCCGAGAGCATCATTACCATGACAACTAGAGCTGAAATACCCTGAATTACATCTCCGGAGCTGCGACTGCACACATCCCGGTCCTCCTCTTTGTTACAGGCTTTTCGCCCCTTCGGGTGGGGGTTGGAATCCCACTAGCTCCAGAGATCCCCGGGGGTCCGCTACCGGGGAAAAGTTTCAGATCAGAACCCACCCGCCTCTCAGCAGCCAAGGCGGCAGCGAGGCGGTGAGGGGGGGAAAACCCCACACTCAAAGTTGTCAATTTCGGGAGCGACGCTTCCCAGTGTGCCAACTTTTCAGCAAGTCCCCCAATTAACTGGGCGAATCTCAAATACGTACTTGAGTGCTGTGGCGGTTCCGTCTTTAGAGCGAGTTTCTAGAGAGCTGCCCCGAAATCTGCGCTGGGGGGGCAGTCACAGCTGCTGTCCCGGAAGGGCTGCGGTCTCCAAGCCCAGCGGCTCCCAGAGGCGGTGAGCGGCTGGCAGGGGATGCTGCGATCCCGACTCATGGGAGAGCGCCGCCGAGGGGTTCCGCTGGCGTCCTGGCTCCGGCCGCGACCAGGGGAGAGGATGCCGCCGCTGTTCCCACCTCCACGGCCACCGCTGTCAGCGTTGCAAAGTGAGCCCGGGAGGGGCGTCCGGCTGCCGCGCCCCGCTGCACCCGCGAGGGTGCAGGGCGAGAGGGGTGTGAGCGCGCGGGAGAGAGTGGAGTGTGTGTGCGGAGCGTGTGTGCGCGCGTGTCTGTGTGTGCGAGTGAGGGAGCGGGTGTGAGCTTGTCTGTGTGTGGGGAGCGGAGGAGGAGCGGGAGCTGGAGGGGTGGGGGGCGGGAGCCAGGAGACTCCGCTCTCCCGGCTGCGCGTTCGCTCGTCCTCTCGGCACGTCATTTATGCCACAGGAGCCCTAGCGGCCTCTCCATAGAGTGCCTGGAATGCGAGACGTCAATGTGACGCCATGGGACGCTACGTCACCCTCCTCCTCCCTCCCCTGGCCCAGCCGGTTCCGCGTGTGCGAGGGAGTGTGTGTGTGTGTGTGTGTGTGTGTGTGCGCGCGCGCGTTACCCGGCCATTCGCCGGGCGGCACAATGGAAACTACGCGGTGCAGCCAGCCCCAGCCCGGAGGCCTTTCCGACCCGCGCTGGCAACCCCTTTGCAGTGGCGCTGCTCGCCCGGGCACGAGTCAGAGAGAGAGCAGCGGCCCGCCCGCGGGTCAGGCGGGACCGCCCAGCTGTCAGGCTCGGGTGGAGTAGAGTTGGAGGAGTGCTGCTGGCGCGCCTCCGAGGCTGCCCCAAGGCAGGAAGCCAGGGCGAGGGGGTAAGAGAGAGGACAGCTCTTCCGAAAAGGAAGGCTCCGCCAGCCAGTTTCTCCGAGTGACCTGGCAGGGGGTGCCGAAGGAGTCAGGCTCCAGACCAAAGATTCCCTGAGGTGCAGCTGCGCTTTCCGCCGGCAACAGTTCTAGAACTGTTTACGTCTGTCCGGCCCTCTGCGCCTCCCATCCTCTACTGGCTGCGTGTTTTACACAGGGATGCAGATGGCTCTGGGAAGATAAGGTTTTTATTTCTTTCTACTTAAGGGGTGCGTTTTATAAATGTAACCCAACTAAATGTACGCGCGCTGCAGCAGAAACTATTTAAATGTGTGCAAAACAAACACAAACGTGTTGAACATCTGAGCGGGTCTGACTATTGCAAATGTCCCCCCCTCCCCCGCTCCCCGTCAGAAATGGAACCCTCAGTTCGCACTTTCACTTTTTGATGGCGGAAGACGGGCCTCCCTTCCCATCTCCCAAATTAAACATTTCGAAATCAATCAACAAGATTTATTAGTCGGTCCCTCCCTAAGGGATTTTCTCTGGTCTCCTGGGACACATTTGTCCTTAAGTGGTGCGCCGAAAGCCTGGGCGACTGTATGAGGGAGAGCCATTTCTTAATGATGAATTTAAGTGTGAATTTCTTGCCGAAAACAAAAACAAAAATTTAGAAGACTTAAAAGCTCCTAGTTCCTAAGGTTGCATCTGAGTTGGAAGCATCCTCTTTTAAAGATCTGAATTTTTTGAGAAAATACTTGAGTAAAACAATGCAGACCGACATGGTTCCTGTGTGTCCGCTGCAATCATAGGTGACATGTTATTTCTTTGAACTGTCACAATCTTTGAGCGCGTGAGGGGGAAGGAGCGGGGAGGGTGCAGCGTTTCAGACTCGAAGAAGGTTCTAGCTAGTACCAGAAACTTGAAAACAAAACTAGCATCACATATGACAGAGGTCTATTTCTTCGCCTCCACTCCCACTTGAGACAGGGTGGTGTGGAGGAGGCCGTGGGAGGATGCTCCGAGAGTTGACCCGGCGGAGAGGAACCCAGCCTCTGCACTGCCACGGATTCCAATCCAGTCTCGGAAGGAAGGAGGGCGCTGCTGCATTGTATCCATTCAAAGGCTGGGAGGTGGGGGGAGCCGACCCGGAGCCGCGCGGCGCTGACGCACGCGAGGCGCATGATTGACGCAGGCGATGTTACTAAATTCGGCGGTTGGCCCGGCCCCGCCGCCGGCGCGCGCGGCCGATAGCGGAGTAGGTTCCCCTTCGGTCACCCCCGCCCCTTCTCCATTCAGCGCCGCGCGGGGCGGGGCGGGGCGCGGTGGGGCGCGCCGGGAGGGGCGGGGTGGGGCGCGCCGCGCGCCGCCGCGCTGGGATCCGGCCGCACCAAATATAGTCGGGCCTGGCTATTTTTAGCGTGGGCTCGGGGGCGAGCGCGCCGCGCGAGGGGGCGCCCTGACCCCTCCAGGGGTGCGGAGGGGGCGGGGGCGTGGTGGCCATCTTGGACTCCGCTCGACCCCGGCTGGTGGCGCGCGACGCTGGTCCGGGCTCGGCGCTGGGGGTCGGGGTGAGTGGGTGTGAGCGGTGGGAGCGAGGGCGGCGCGGGCTGTGACCCGAGGGGAGGGTGGGGCGCGGGCGCGGGGTCCGCCTGGAGGGGCGGCGCGGGCGGGGGAGCGCGGGGCGCCCGGCCCGTGGGGCGAGCGTGAGGACGGACGGCGATCCCGGCTGTCCCGCCGGCCCGCGGCCCGGCCGGCCCCGAGTCGCGTGGGGGCGGAGCCGCCCGCGGCCACCACTTCCTGAGAGCCGGGGATACCCCTCCCGAACGTCACGGAGGAGCCGAGGCGGCGGTGGCGGCCCCGGGCTCATCCTGCACTTGCATCACGGGTGCAACAGCAGCTGCTCTGCTCCTTTGTGGCTTTTTCCCCTGTTGAGTAACTGCTTTGTTAACTGAAAATACCATGACGGGCCAAGTGTGATCACCAGCTTCAGACCTCAAAGAAAGTGAAGCTGTCAGGCAAGAAGAGGGAGACTCCCTTCGCCGGCTGCGATGGTATCTGGTGGGTGGGTGTGTAGAGAAGCACTTGACAATTTCCACGTATTACTTCTTGCCTAACTCTTCACCCCCAAGAAGGTTTAAAAATACTTTTATTTCCATGCAGTAAAAATTTCATGTGTTCTGCACCCCACCCGTTCCCCCTTCAATTTGAAATCTCACGCCGAATTGGAATCACACTAAAGCAGGAACCCTAAAATTAGGCACAGTTTTTAGGAAACGGGACATCTTTCAACGAATTTATTTAATAAGCTTCGTTTTCTAAATGTTAATATATAAAAAAGGTTCTTGCCCACTCAAGGTAGTTATAAAACAACTAACCAAGTTTGTTCTTATGAATTGGGCTCCCTCAGTTTTAACCCTGTATTTTTGTTTACCTTGAATTAAAAATAATTCTATTCCTTGCTGAATATCTCCAGGTAAAGCATTTCTCTCTGAGTACGTGTTATCTTTCTGGACATCTGTGTTGGTTAATTTTGTGCTTCCCTGACCCCCATGGTCACTAATCTTTGTTCCTTGATGACTGTTAGGCTCAGGGCTGTTGTCTGATTGCCCTGAACCAATCAGCTGGTGTAGGGCTTCTCTGAGGAGGAAACTGGACTGACTGTTGGAGGATTCCAGTGGTCATTGATAAGTGGTAATATTTTTGCACTGAAATGGAAAGTCTTGGAAGCAGAAACAAGGCTCTGTTACAAAATGGGACACCATCCCCTGCTTAATCCTAGGTCCCTAAACATATGCAAGTCTTTAGGAAACCTCAAATGGAATGAATCATTCTCTTTTCTTTTTTAAATTTTTTTTTTTTTTATTGATTTCAGAGAGGAAGGGAGAGGGAGAGAGGTAGAAACATCAATGATGAGAGAGAATCAGTGATCAGCTGCCTCCTGCATGATCCCCACTGGGGACCGAGCCCACAATCCGGCCATTGACCAGAATCGAACCTGGGACCCTTCAGTCCACAGGCTGACACTCTATCCACTGAGCCAGACCAGCTAGGGCTGAATCATTCGCTTTTCAAGTTAATAACGTGTTCTATCTATAACTTTTCAAAAGTCTGATTTACTAGAAGTCAGGGGTAATATACTATAAGGCATATGTATGACTATTTGAGTAATCTAAATTGCCTTTTGGATGACTTTTTTTATTAAAGGAAAGTCATTACTTTATAAAACTCTCATTTTAGGAAATCAAGTAGAATAAGACTACCTTAATCTACGAAATGTTGAAAACTTACCTGGTTTTGCCTTTTTTCTAGAAGCGGGACATTTATGCGTGACCTAAGCAATGAAAGTAGTTAGTTTCTGCTTTCATAATACTTATGGCAGCCAATTTGCTAAAGGCTCTTTCGATGAAGTAACTATTACAAATTCACTGGATAATTAACTTTCATTTTATTTTGGTTTTATAGGTATAATCTATCTGCAAGAACGAAAGGGCTCTTTCTCTTAGACAATAAACTATGAAAATTTGGGGGAAATTTATTATGTGTGATAGAAAGCAATTGCTTTAACAAAGTGGGACTTACTTGCTTTAAATGCTCTTCTGATTAAGCAATGACATATAATCTTGTTGATTTTGCTAATAGGTAAAGAATGATGAGTCTTATTAATGCAAAGATTGGGTGAAGAAAGGTAAAATAAAAATTTCAAGCCAGAAGTTAACTAAGGTGCATATAGGAAGAAAAGTTAAAAAAAAAATTGTGTGTAACTTAAGTTTTCTAGAATCAGTGTAGAAATTCTATATTGTATTTAAGAAATGTATATACAATTTAGTAACCTGAGCTACATTGACTTATATACTTAAGTGTATGGGACTCAGGTACGTGGGACTACTACAGTAGCCTATCTGACCTACCCGTATACCATCCCTTCTTTATCAACTCTATTATCTCCAGATTAATCTTCCTAAAATATAGCTTTTGTTATATAACTCTCTTGCTCAAAAAGTCTTCAGCAGTTGGATCTTATCTCTACCATAAAACACGAAAGCCTCTACATTGTGGCCTCTTAATTTCCACAGGATTTTTCTGTTCTAGTCAAACTGATATCTTCACTGTTCTTCAAACATCCTTTTACCTTTCCACATTTATTCATAGTTTTCCTTTTTATGGCATTTCCTTCTTCCCCTTCTCTGCTTATTGAAATTTTTCCCTTCCTCGAAAATTAGCTCAAGAAAATTAGCTCAGGTTGTGCTTTAGTCTTTCATAAAATTCTTACTTTACTGCCTTGTTTTTGTGCTCTTGTGTTCATTGCTTATTCCCCTGTCAAACTATAAGCTTCAGAAGCATGCCTCACACATCTTTGAGATTTCTGTGGCAACTCAGTTTAACATAGATAGTAAATATTCCCCCATTTAAATTTGAATTAATAATATAAATAACAAGTTGTGTGAATGGATGTCTTGGCATGAATGGATGTATATGAGGTCATACATTAGTTGTTTTCTTTACCTGAACTTCCGGTACTCGTGTTTGAACATACCTTGTCAAGGTGCCTGCCACAAGTCCAGACAGCTGCATGGTGATACAAGGAAATTGCAGTTTGGCTTATATCTGTAATATCTGCGTAGGAAGATTTGCTATGATTTTTTTTTTTTCCTGGTAGACTTTTGATTTGACTCTCATTCTACCCTCTTTCCTCTATTTGCACTTTCTCTTAGGTTGTTTTGTCACAGTGATAAACTGGATGCTACAGGCTAGGAAATGTTAATAACTTCTTTTGGAAAAATTTCTTAATGTTTAGAAAATTGAGAACCAGTTAAATATAAAAATTCTTCAATCTTTTACCTTTTCTGAAATATGTATATATAGATTTGTCTGACTCTATATATGCAGAAATAAACTAGGCAAAGAAAATTTGGAATTATGATTTATTAGAAGTTTCAGAGAGAGACCCAATGTGACTTAGAAATTAAAATTTACTTTAAGAAAAAGTAATAGATCAGAAAAGACTTTTTATGTTATAGACAATTTTAGAAAAGAGTGAAAAACCAAGATGGAAAGATTACTTGGTAGTATAAGTGCTAATAATATTTTAAAATCTCATGAAGCAGTATTTTTCTACTCACTAGTAAAAAACAGGACAGGCTTGCATTCTAGTTAAAAAGGTAGTAGTTTATTTCTTAGTCACGTTTTCCCCAGTCTCTGGTAAACGCTAGAAGACCACAGGTGGTTTGAGGAGAAGAGTTATTACTCATGTGTGTTAAACCTATTCAGGATATTATTTATGCCTGTGAAATAAGATCTGCATTTGGGCTACAGTTGATGTATGAAGTAAACATCCCTTTCCACATATAACCGTGCACCACTTTCCCGTCACCTAACTCTGAAAAAACAAATAAACAAACAAACACCAACAACCCCAAACAACCCACCGAAAAAATCCCGATTGCTTTACATGTACAAGCTCAGTTCCTTCAGCATGTTCTCCGAGAGTGGGATGCTGTATTTGAGGGAGACCACTAGATTGCTTCTCAGAGGCCTGGATCTGGCTTTGCTGCTGCCAAGTGGCCCTGCCTTGGGTAAGTTAATTCATCTTTTGGCGGGGCCTTGGTATCATCATCTGTAAAATGATAGTGTCTGGTTCACTATATGATCTTTAAGCATCTTTCAGGTTGTAAAGTTGAATGCTTTTTTAGGTTCGTTCTATATTGTGACTCCTGGGTCAACTCTGGCCTGTTCTATCACTGTCTGATTGCTGTAGTCAGGAGGCTCCTGAACTCTTTTTGTATTTAACACGTGTGCTTATAGTAGCAATATTATATTGAAATATTTTGACTTGCATAATAACTAACCGTAGCCATTGAGTGAGATCTTGGTGGCCTGACAGAGTTAATGTACTGCCAGCATCACAGCCTTTGCCTGGCCGTAAAGTGGAAACAAACAGAAACCTGGGTAGTCCAAAAGTCATTTTATATTTTTAGCTTTGAAATTTGTTTTTGTACAATCATTTGAATATGGATGAGTCACAAATTGACTTCATACAAATTAATAAACTTTCATTGGAATGGATTCTGTTGTTTGTTCCTTTTCAGCTCTTTTCTGATCTTCACTGTGTGCTAAGAATAAGCCATTTCTTAAATGTCACAGCTGAGGCAGAAGTGTCCTGTCTGCTTTTTTCCTAGAGAAGGACTGGTGATGTTGGGGTTGCAAGTCTTTATATCTCCCTTTAGAGGGTGAGTCAATGGAGAAAGTGAAATATTAAGAAGGCAGGTCAAAAGAAAAGTACCAAGTAGCTATTAAGTTGAAAACTGCTAGCAAAGCGAGTAGAAAGAATACATTTTGTTTGTAAACTTGTTAGGTTTGCAGTTGGCTACATCTTTATAGATAAACTAGAGGCCCAGCGTGCACAAAATCGTGCACAAGTAGCTCACTTCTGCTTGCCTCAGCTGGCCGCCCCACCCATCACCGCTTGTAGCTTGCTGCCCCGCCCTCTGCCCCGCCTGCCGGGAGAGCTGCTGCTTGTTTGGTTGTGACGGCATTACAGCATGATGGCCACGGGCCTTTTATATAAGAG